TGCCATTTGATAATAATCTCAGAAGTAATGAAAACATTTGAAAAAACAGATTAAAAATATTGTTGTAATAAATTCAGTGGCTCCTTTGGATAATCATGTCAGTCCCAAATGATAGTTTTGAGGTGAATTCCTTCCAAGCAATGGTAAAGAAAAAAAAAAGTAATTTCAAGTGACTATGCCTTATGAGAAAGTTGTTTTAAAAAATCCTAACTTTTAGACATAAAAATAACTTGTTTTTTTCTTTTCTAAATAGCACCATCAAATAAGAAAGATTTAAAGTTCTAGAAAATAAGGTTTTTCTGAGATAGAGGACTTAATGTGTAGATATCCAGTCCTCATCATTTTATCAAGTCTTGGACCAGCTAATCTTGATTTCTTGTTAAAGAACACAAAGGAAATTTACCGTCTGAGTAGGTTGGTAATGGTCTAAACATTCAGCTTTTATACTGGGGTTTTGGAGTGAAATAATTATAATCTTCCTAGAGGTACTACTACTGGCTTCCTAGAAAACTTTATCACTTACTGGAGACTTTATCTCCTACAATCTCATTTTCAAAAGTCCTAAGCCCTGAAGTTCTTCCCAACGGCTGGCATCCTGGGAATTCACTTGATCTGCTGGGCAGAGACATTTCAAACTCGGGAACACATGATGGGAATTTACTTTTATGTGTCCAAAGATATGTTATTCTCTTTGGAGGTTTTACTTGATAATAGCTATGCCCCAGAAAACCATCTTGTTTAACCAATGTGATAAGTTGACAATGTAGTTTTTCTCTCTGATTATAATGTACTCTGTGTAGTCAATACACTGGTACCATGTGAGTGTAATTTCCTCTTTTATTTTATCTCCAATGCACTGTATTATAAATAAACAGTTAAAAAAAACACCAAACAAATCTGTTGCATCTCCTTTTAAGATTGTACCACTGTAGACACTTGTTCTGGTAAAGTAGAATTGGGCGCATTTGATTGCATTTAAATTTTTCATGCTTCAGCAGTTTGGCTGGGAGCACAGTAAAGAAAAATCCCATGAGCGAGGATAGTTTAGAATAATAGAACTTGATTTTGTGTATTATAGCGGCAACATTTGCGCTGCTTTAGTTAGGGTTGTGTCAGCACTTCCATTATAAACCCCTGTTTTCAAGGGGTATAACTAGGGAGATATTTTTTTTTAATACAAATTAAAAAAACAATTCATTTGAATGATTTTTAAGTTATAATAGTGCAAAAATAAAACAAAGTTAAGTCACATAGAAATTGACCATTTTCACAAGGATTTTAATTCTTTTGCTTATTAGTTGTATATGGCAGCAGCTAAAGTAAGATACTGTCCTAATACACTGGGAGTGAAAGTTTTTGTAATGAAAAATTACTAACATGAGGATTAAAAGTAAAAGTAAGCATCCCATGTGATATTTTAAATCATTAAAGCAAGTGTATATTTGATTTATGAGTTTCTGTAGGAGAGTAGCCATGGTGCCATGACTATAGTAAAGGTATTACCAAAAGTCAAGTATCTTTGCAACTTCTAGAATACAGTTTAGTTGGTCTAGTAAAAGGGAAAGCTAAAGTAAAGAAGTGAAATGAATGAGGATGTAATCAGTAAATTGAAGGATTCTATAACAAATAATTTTGCAAAAAATAATCAGTAAATTGAATCAATAATCAGTAAATCCAAGGCACTTAAAACTGCATTAAAAAGAATTTGTGCACATTTTCCTTTTAAAAATGCAACAGGGCTTCCCTGGTGGCGCAGTGGTTGAGAGTCCGCCTGCCGATGCAGGGGACACGGGTTCGTGCCCCGGCCCGGGAAGATCCCACGTGCCGCGGAGCGGCTGGGCCCGTGAGCCATGGCCGCTTAGCCTGCGCGTCCGGAGCCTGTGCTCCGCAACGGGAGAGGCCACAACAGTGAGAGGCCCGCGTACCGCAAAAAAAAAAAGAAAAAAAAATGCAACAAAATCACCATCCGAAACAAAAAACTACAACAAAACCATCAATAAAAAACAAACCTGAAAGAAGCCCAACAATTTTATCAAAAGGAAATGTCTACAGGGGGGCAATACCTAGCTAAAAGAAAAAGAATCACCTTTTTTTCTGCTAACAACGTATTGAAAACTAAAGGAAACGCAAGAAATTAAATTAAATATGATATGGAAAAGTATTCTTGGAACAAAAAAATGTTAATTCCTTTGCTAAAGGGAGGGATTTTGAATTTGAGTATGCCTTCCTTGGTTTTTAAGTATTATTGTCTTACCTTTCCTCTCTTTTTGTCCCTTAATGATGATGTGAACTGAGGATGACCAGTCAGATTTAATATTGCTTTTTGTTGGCAGCCTATCTTTTATTTGCAACCTTGATACACATTTGTATTTGTAGGTGCAAAATAAAAGACAAAGTGTGTGATGTTATAAATTGGTAGCTTTCCTGAATGGTCACTGGAGGAATCACCAGAAGACTGTTGATGAAGTAGAGGTGAAGCCTTTCCTCACTAATTGTATTCAGCGTGTAATTTCTAAACTTCCCTCTGAATTTTGATTTTCAATTAACACTCCCCATTTGAAAATAATTTTCTATTTAATGTAATTGCAGGAAGTAATTTATTGGCTGATTAAGACAGAGGGCCCAGCCTTCCTTAAGAAAACACTGTAACAAACCAGCCTTTAAACTCAACCCATAGCTTTGGACAGCTTTAGTCTATTTTTACAGCTGCATGGTTGTGTTTAATTAGGATTGTGCACTATTGTTCATTGGTGCAGTTTATAGTTGAAATTATTCTTAAGAGACTTTTCATTTTGGGTTTTGTGTTGTGATTAATTTATACTAAACCAACAATCACAGATATTGCTATTGGAAGGAGCCAAGTCACTTTATAATAAGAGGACGTTTGTTGGGGAACTAACGTCACTCTGAGTTTTGGATTATGACTTTCAATTGTATTTAACTGTTTTAAAAAGCAGCAGTAAATTCATTCTTTTGTCTTTAATGTGAATGATTACATTATTGGTACTGTTATTATCTGAACTATGAAAACACTCTTGTTGTTAATGGCAAGCTCTTGATAAATTCGCAGAAGAGTTATAATTTGCCTGGTTTTACTATAGTATTTTTGAGGCTAATGAAGTAAGTTCTAGATGATTCCTGTATTACAAGAAACAACATTTGGTATCATTTTCTGTAAGTTTATATGCATTTCTCCATTTGTCATTATTGATAGAAATTAGTCAAGGATATACTTATCTAATTCTTTGATAAAGTACTCATTAGAACATTTTTCTTTCTCCTCAAAGAAAACATAGATATGCTTCTGTACTTTCTTTTCTCCATATTATTTTCTAGTATCAAATCTAGTAGATTAAATTTTTATTATTTGTAGAATGATTATTATAAGTAGGTATCAGCATTTTAATGTGTCTCAAAGCACTTCAAAAGCCCGTAATACTTTTATTTAGAACTGAGCATAATTAGATTAGCTGATCTTACATTAATTTTTTTCACTGTAGGATACTAAATCTGAGCCCCCTCATTAATTGTGAGAAATTTAGCATTAGCTGTTAAATCCTATGTGAAACATGGGCTGCTACATAAAAACTACTGTTTAAATTGGAATTAACTTAATTATTTTTCTTTGCACTTGATATTTCCTTCACTGCAATATTCATGAAAGCATGTGACAGATTTGTAAATTTAACTGTTAATCTCAGATTTCTAGACCCTTTAATCAGTATTTATTTGTCTGTAGAAACAGTACTAGCAAGTTAATGATTTGCTAATTTGAAAAATGCTCATGTGGTTTCCTATGTTAACTGATTTGTGCATTTTTAAAAAATAGTATGAAATCAATTAATGTTAAAGAGCAATTAAGGTGGAGATTTTATTCCTTTCGTTACACAGCAATTTTAGAGCTAACTGTACTATAAACCAAAAACAATGTAAAGTTTTAGAAAATATACTCAATTTCCTCTTCTTTTAAGTTATAAACTTCTGGTGATTTTATTTCTAAACATTTTTCTAAGAAAATCATCTCGATAAAGTGATATTCTAAAAGTTTTGAAATTCTGTCTAACAATCATGATTTTCTGATTGTATATGAAAGCACAGAATGAAGACCTTGTCTTCACTGTGCTGAGTGTAGTTGATGTTTACTTGTGGATACATAGAAGAATGTGCAGTAATTGTTTTTGGAGTTTTAAGATTATGAATAGTAGGCATTTTACTCTTCATAGTAAATGCTTTGAATCTTATATGTACTTTCTTATATAAAATAGAAGCATAGTTATTTCATATACTCAATTAAAATGTCACAAAATTGCCTTAAAACTAATCTAGCATTATCAGCTACTCAATCAGTATGTCACTTAAAAGTTTACTTGTAGCAATTGACACAGCTTGAAGGTCTTTAGAAAAAGATCAGATTGACACTAATCAGTGTTAGGCCTAGTACTCATAATACAAGGTATAAACTAAGAAGTCAGGACCAAGTTTGTTTAGGATTTTCATCATAGATTGCTTACTCTCCTGATTATATTTTCTTACATAGACTTCCTTTGTTCCTACATAAAGCATAAGAGAAATTTGGGTATTTGTAATTTCATCTCATCCTCCAAACTGGCTCATTTGCTGTTCATTCATTCATTTTTTTTCATTGCTAGCCATCAACTGAATTACTCTCAATAATCTAGTTGGGAGAACTGGGAGGAAAAATACACACATACATATACTATCCATTATGAAAACTTATTCCATAAAAATTTCATTTGTGGATTGGTAAGAAAGAAAATGTGCAGCAATTACTGGGAAGAAGTTTGCTTGAGTTAAAAGGAAAGAGGGAAAGTGGAACAGATAAGCCAAGAGTTCTTTTTCAGTGGTTTAGAGTAGATCATAAACATTTCTGAAGTTAGAGAACTTTCCTTTTTTCCTGAATTTTTCACATGTAAGGGATGGTTTATTCTTTTGTCATTGACAGCCCTTTTAAAAATCCATGCTATTTCCTTATTCTGCAGAAGAATGTCTTCCAAGCAAGCCACCTCTCCATTTGCCTGTGCAGCTGATGGAGAGGAAGCAATGACCCAAGATTTGACCTCAAGGGAAAAGGAAGAGGGCAGTGATCAACATGTGGCCTCCCATCTGCCTCTGCACCCCATAACGCACAACAAACCTCACTCTGAGGAGCTACCAACACTTGTCAATACCATTCAACAGGATGCTGACTGGGACAGTGTTCTGTCGTCTCAGCAAAGAATGGTGAGCTTTTAAAATCTGGCCACTGTCACCAAGTATGTCTGTTATTATGGGCTCATTACAAATAAGTGTTTTAGAGAAAGCTCAGAATCTGTATCATTAGGGTTATTTGTGTTCAGGCGCTGAAAACGACCACCTTGTATATTATTAATATATTAATACTAGTTAGTGGGGAAAATTGGAAAATGGTTTGTGGTTTTGTTTTTGTCCATTATTAGGTTGATTTGCCAAAAGATATTTAATTTAATTTCGGGGGAGATTTGGTTATCTTATTCTCTGATTCTCTGTATTTAAGGTGGTGACCTTGATAATACCACAAAATAGGTAGTATGATCCAGTAAAGTGTGGCTATGTATTAATATTGAAAAATTATAATAAGCAAACATATCTATGTGAATGAGGTCATATAGTGAATACATCTTCAGTGACGAAATGCAGGTATTTATCATTTTTAACAGTCATTCTTGATTTATAATAAAGCTTTTCTCACTCATGTGCCTGTATATTAATTTCAAAAGGACATGCAAAGCTCCTGAGTATCATTCAATCAAACTGCAGGAGTTTGCCCTAAAGGTAGAAAAAACAATGTCCAATACATGCAGTGTATTAGCCAGCTTTCCCATGTTAAATTCTACCTGTAACCATCAAAACAGGTACCATAATAAGTGACATGACTTATCTAGTTTAAAGCAAAAATATTAAATTTTTTAACATTTAAAACTGACCAAAATCTTAACATATTTTATTAGATTAGGAATTTTAAACCCTGTTTTACATGTCTTAACTTTTGGCTAAATTAATGAAAAGTATTTTAAGTGGGAAATGGGGAAAAGTTTTATTCCTTAATAAAAAATAAGGTAATATTTAAAAATGCCTTTACTCTAATAGCATTTTAAAATTTTTGCTCTATGCTTAATGTTTCAGAACCAATTCAAAGACTTAATTTTATAATTTATGGAGGCAGACATTTTTCTTTTTCAGATGATTCTGCAGGCACAGTTAGTACTCTGAAGCAGTAGCTGAGAAATAGGGGATTGGACTAGACTAGACTGTTCTAGACTAACTTTAGGTTGAAAGGGGATCATCATTATGCAGTTAGACCCCCTGGAAGATTTGTTTTCCTTGCATAGGGGGAAGAGAGAAGGTATAATAAAGCAAGGATAAAAGTCTGTTTTTTTAATTGAACGTAAGCAGTTCATTTTATAACTCCAATATAGCATGGGTGAAATAGATATTCAGTCACTCTCACTGGCTTTTTGGCAAGGTAATAGGGCTATATTTTATCTTGATTTCAACAAATCATTATGGTGTACCTCGTCTGTGCCCAGCATTCTGCTGGGTACTGGCTGTCTAGTAAACAAAACATGCATGATTATGCCTTCATGGAGCTTATATCTAGGAGAGGGAACAGAAATAAATATACACACACAAAAATATAATTAAAATTTGATATGTGTTAAGAAGAAAAAGAACATAATGCCATGTGAGAACACAATGAAATAAACCTCATTTAGAATGGATGGATAGGAATGCCCTCTTTGACCTAAGGATGATAAGAACTAACCAGGCAAAAAATAGAAGAAAGAGTAAAACTAGCAGAGGGAACATCATGTATGAAATATTTGAGGTGAGAAAAATATAGCTGAGTTTCAGAAAATGAAAGATAGTTCTTGTAGCTGAAGTGTAATGAGCGAGGGTGCAACATAGCATCAGATATGGTTGGAGAGATTGGTAGGGGCTAGTTATCTGACAAGACCTTGTAGGTAACATTATGGAAGTGAGATTTAATACTAAGTGCAATGGAAAGCCATCGAAGGGTTTAAGAACACTTCAGAAAGATAGTTCTGTGACTGTATATGAACAGATGTGGGGAAGATGGAGTGAAAGGAGGAAGACCTGCTGGGAAGCTATTTCAGAAATCCAGGTAAGAGATGATGATGGCTTGGGTTAGTGTGGAGGCAGATGGGCTAGGGAGAAAAGTTAGGTTCAAGATATTTTAGCTTTTATGCCAGATATACTCATGGACAAATCAGAATAACTACACTGGAAAATACAGGTTGAGGCAGAAATAATACAGTTCAAATTCTACTTCTTTAGAGCACTCTTTACTTATTTTTCTTAGTATAATTTAGTTTGTATATTGGCAAGTGCAAAATTGCTTCAGTGAGTTATTCTCAAAGTTTTATGATCTAAAATTTTGTCAGAAAATAGATATTAATAATTTGCTTACCAAATTTACAAGTGGGATTTATGGTATTATAAAATAGTTTAAATTTACAAATATGTTATATTAATATAAAGAAATCATACTTGCTGGAAATATTTTCAAACTTTCATTCTCTTCTGATATCAAACATTACTTTGCACTGGAGCCTTTGTGTATTCTGAATGTCCGGAAGCCAAAATATTTTGTTTTAGCTCCAACTCTATAGTATTTCCCAGCTGTGTACTTATATAGTATAATAAAAGGATTTAACAATTGGGAAATAGCAGCTCCATTTGGAAATTCCCTTTTCATTTGATAGATTCAATAATGTATAACAAGTGTAACATCAGACCTGTAATGACTTATACTGCAAGTATCATATCACTGACCAATTTTTCTTTACAGCAAAGGAAAACACTAGAAGGATTTTAGGTTTCTGGACAGCCTTGCAAACCTACATATATTGAGTGTATGTGTTGCAGTGGGGTGACTGTGACTAGAGTAAAACTTAATAAACACTTTGCCTCATTCTACATTCAAGTAAATATTAAATCCGGAAGAATTGTTATGAAGTTAAGTGAAACTTACTTCTCTTCAGTGGATCCTATTTGTTACGCACTGTAGTTGAACCTCATAACATCAGCGTAGAGAAATAAAATTTAAAAGAAAGTCTAAAAACAACAACAGATATTTTATCAGCGCTTAACTCAGTTTCCATTGTAATTTGCTTTCTGTGATGGCCCTCACTCATGAACAGTTAGAAACAGGCACTAAAAGTTTCTTATATACTGGGTTCAGGAAGGGTTTTACTTTGAAATCTCAACACCATAGAGGAGCTTTTCTGTAAGACAAGGTAAAGACAAAGCAGAGAAGTTCTGCTAATCCCTACCTCTGGATTAGAAAAAAAATCTTTAGATGTTAAAATTTGGATTAATTATTTTGATGTTGCACTCCAACAAAATATGAGACTATACAGTTTCAAACGAGTGAAAAAATTCATTGTGGAATAAGCAAAGGAGAATAGAAACTTAGAGAACAGAAACTTTAGAGATCAGCATTCCAAGACCAATTGAAGATAAAAAAATTTTAGACTCTGATTTTAGTTACCATTACTTATATTATGGACACCAAAATGTTCGATTTTAAATTTAGTGTGCTATGTTAATTGGTAAGATACATTTGAAGGCTGAAAAGTTAGTGTAAATAAGAATTCACTGTCCTTGTTTGCTATGTACAACCACTACTATTTTCATTATGGTACCAGTGTACCAGCACCTTTTTTTGTAGAGGAATTTTGACACTATTTGAAATATATTTTTGCTCCCATTAGAACTGATTCATTAGACAGGAATAAATTCACATAATTTTTTCATCAAAAAAGGTATAGTGTATCATTCTTTTTAATGTAAACAAGCATGAAGAACATTTTGTAGTAATATTTAGTGGCTAGCATATAATATTGTGTGTAATGATTATCTGCTAATGATTACTTGAGTGTGTAGCACCTACTAAGTTCTAAGCACAGGGACTTTCTTATGAATAAGACAGGTATGATCCCCTCACAGAGTGAGACAATTTTAGACAATGGTGAGTGCAATAAAGAAAATTAAATAAGAAAATGTTGAGAATGACTACTTTAAACAAGCCAGGGAAGGTCTTTTTGAAGAGGTGACATTTGACTTGAGATTTGAATAATGAAAGGGAGACAACTATGCAAAAATTTGGGGGAAGACACCCAGCTAGAATATATAGTAAGTGCAGAAACCTCTTGGTTGGTGTGTTTGAGCAATAGGAAACAATGGAGTGTCTGCAGTGGAATGGGTGAGGGAGAGAATGGTATGAGATGAAATCTAGGAGGCAGGCAGATGACAGATACTATGGGGTATCATAGGCTACAGTGAGATGTTTCGACTTTACTTAAAGTGAAAGAGGAAGCCATTGGAAGATTTTAAGCAAGAGACTACCATGATTTGATTTGTGTTTTTAAAAGATCATATTAGCCGCTGTGTACGTAATGGATTGCAAGAGATAAAACCACAAACAAGGGCACCTATTAGGAAAACTGTTGCAGTAGTGCAGGTGAGAGTTTGACAGTAAGTGGAAGAGTGGACAGTTGGGGAGTTTATTCTTTGAAGAGTTCCCATAGAGTCTGAAGAAGACAAGACTCACACAGAGGGTGAGGAGAATATGTTATGTAATATACATGTGGGCAGAAATTTAGTCAAGAATGAACAGGAAGTGAAGTCGATGAGACCAGGGCATGGGGAAGGGTAAGGCTTGCTCCTGGACCAAGAATGGTCCCGTGTGAGGACAGAAGCTTTTTGCCTAATAGGGAGATATTTACAGGTGACTTCCAGGGTAGGTTATGGGAATGTGGGCTAGACACCAACAGTATCTCTTACAAGATCCCCAAAGTGACAGGATTCTAAGTGGGACCTCTTGCATGCATGTGCACCTGTGCACTTACATGCATTCTCATACTGATATATATTTTAAGCCAAAATGGGATTATATGCATTTGGCTTTTAACTACTAGTCTAATTAGGTAGAAATAATCATACTGGACCCTCAGGCCCAGAATATCAGAACTCCTTATTTTAGAGACCTACTTAAATTCCCCCAAGTTTTATCTTCTAGAAAAGTTTAAAAAATAATATTCCACTATAAATAAAAGATGCCAATAAAGTCATTTGTTGTAATTAAAAAAATAATAATAATAGGCATGTTGAGATATTTAGTAAATAACTGTTGGGAACAATACTTTCTTGCTTGCAAACAACTTCTCCTCTCTGCCTTT